ACTTTGTCCCACGGAAAACTTGGATCCACTTGTGGGTCAGCAGGATCCGGCGACCCGGCTTCAGTGCTCTGCGATCCCCCATCCACCGACCCTGGGTTATCTAGGGACCGGCTCTGGGGATCGTCCCCGGTCTTGGATCCAACCTCTATCGCTTGGATGACAATCCGACGATCCCTCTGTAGGATCTTTCGCGGAGTTGGGTACGAAGGCCGATCCACCAAGGGGCCAGTTGGCTCCGCCGGGAGCTCCCCCTCTCCGAGAGATTCGATCTCGGTAGTCGCCTCGTACGCCAGATTCTGCCATTCTCAGTAGCGACGGGATCCCACTGACACATATCCAGGTCGCCTCGGGATACCTTCCTTCGCCAACCATCGCCCGATCTCTTCATAATGGTCCAGTAATAGTCTGTTGTCGCTGACGTTTGTGACCCTGGAGGTATTGTGATCGACCTGGTCCTTGGATTACTGTAAGCACCCCACTTCTCGCCCCGAGTGACCCACAGTTTCTCATGTTCCACCCACTCCAACCGATCTGGCAGCTCCCATGTTTCTCCGGGCTCGATCCAGGTCGTCTTATCCGCCCTTATGATCCTCATCTTCGCCCCGTACAACGGTCGCCGTCCGCTGAGCTGGATCCGCATCTCGTCAGGGAAACAAAGTGTCCCATCCGCCAGATCCAACCTCACTCCGGCCGGTACCATGAAATCCATCCCGAGGATGGCGTCTTGACCCGCGAGATCTCCAACCCAGATGTCAAACCAATACACCAAACAAGCTGCCAGCGTGATTTTGATCCGCGTTCTCCCATTCGTACGGTACACGCCTTCACCAATCCCAACACAGTCTTGGATCCGACTCCCATCCACTTGGCACCCAACCTTACGAGCAAAGGCGGTATCTAGTATAGACACCTCGGCACCACTATCTAGAAGTAGGATTGCTTTTTCATTGTTGATCTTGCCCCCTACCTTGGCTTGTCTGAACCACTTTCCTGGGGCATGGTACTTCCAGTATCCACGGGACTCCCCGGTTAGAAGATCCATGGATCCAACACCCTCGGATCCACGGGATCCAGTGACCTGACAGACCTTAGGTGGATCTGCAGTGACCTCACCCTTGGTGGGCTCAAACCATCGACCATGTTGGCGCTTCTCCCAGTAACCACGTGCCTCTCCCCTTTGTAGATCCAGGGTTGAAGAGACTTCGGATCTGGCAAACTCATCCACTTGGCGCAAACTAGAGATCTTGGCAACTGACACTTCATGTAGATCACGTGTATTATCGACTGGATCTAGGGTCCTGCTACCTGGATCTAGCGATGTCTTGTTCACAAATGCATAAATGCAATACCTAGAACGCTCGGCTCGTACCGGATTCAAACCCGGCGAGCGTCCTAGTTTAACATCTTCTCGGCCACTTCTGGCAACATCCCTCTGTGCTTGGCTGGATCAAACCACTGGCGGATCTGGTTGTAGAACTCTTCCATCGGACACTTGCCGACGTCGTGAATCTCGCCACACCCGCGACACACGTAGAAGCAATGATCTCCGGGATGACCTTTCTTGCCACACTTCTCACAGACCCAATGTTTCCAGCATCCAGATTCTGTGTGCTTCCGGGATCCGCACTGCGAACACCTGATTTGCGCTGTCCCGTCCATGAGATCTCGGGATCTGTACATCCCACGGTCCCCGGGTACGGTATCCCTCGGTCGCGAGCTGTCTCCTGTCTTCGCCGTTCGATCGTTGGACGCAGTGAGACAGACTCGACGGTAATCTTCAGGGTCGGAGTCCGAGCCGTCGGATCCTGATTCAGTTCCTGAGTCGGGCGCCGTGACTTGGTGGACGCGTCGAGCTGGAGCCGTGGGCGTCGGAGCCTTTTGGTGATACTTGCCGGATCCGACCGCCGCCTTCTTCTGGCGGTGTTTCGCGCGATCCACCGCCCGCAGCACTTCCTCAAGCTCATCTGCGTCTGGAAGACGTAACAGAGTCAGCCTGTCGGCCAGATCCACGTTTCCCAACGTCTAGGATGAAAATATCCACGTGTTTTCGCAGTACCTTGAATCCCCCATCCTTGATCTTCAACTTGGCCCGTAGACCGGCCACATTTAGTCGATGTAGGTACTCCAGCGGGGATTCATCCGATCTGCGGCGAGCATGGTAGTATTGTCGTGCCACCGACACTCCCAATCCACAGTACTGGGTCTGGAAGCTGCGCAGCAAATCCGGCCACTTGTTCCTGGTGGATCTGCCCAGCTGCCGATACCAGTTCCTGGCTGGCCCCGCTAGCAGATCCGCAAAGGTCAAACACTTCTCAGCATCCGACGCATGATCTCTCATGAGGGCCGACTTGACTTTGCTGATCCATGATCTGGCTCGATCCTCATCTTGATCCTTGCCCGTGAACTCCTCA